GGGGGGGGGGGGGAGCCTCCGGCCTTGTTCCGCCCATGTATGCGAAGTTCAACACTCCGTACGAATGTTTGACTCCAGCGCGGATACTGATGCTGATTTCAGTAAATGGAGTGCTTGATAAATGGATTATCCATTGAAACGGAGCTACAAGTTATGACTTCTTCTTCTCCTTCTTTTTTCTTCTTCTTCGTCTCCTCTTTTTAGAAATCTATTAGGTCTTCAAATTTAGTATCCATGCTCGACAATGCTATCTAGCGTGTGTACTCCATGTTCGGGACCACAAATGTGGGGTACGCCCACCCCCCCCCCCCCCCCCCTCCACCGATATCAATCACGTTAGTCAGAGTATAACGCTTCCCACTGACCGAAGTGGGCGGGAACTAGAGTACTGCCGTGCTAAGGAAGAACGCCGTATGAGCATTCGAGAGTTACCAAATCTCCCTTAATAAAACATGTATTTTTGACGACATTCATGCCCATTTTTCTTTGAAATTTGCAGATATTTTAGATTAAATTGCGTACAAAATTGTCTCCAAATTTTGGGAAACAATATTTACAATGCTCCTAATAAATTCGGTTTTTATCGAAGGGAACATGGCAACGTCTGAAGGTTCATACGGCGTTTTTCTTTAGCAGGACAGAGTACCTGTATACGGGAGAGTATTGTCAGCTCTGTGCCGCTCTCTGATTGGTGCATCAGTTTTACGTCATCATATGGAGCTCCTAAGTTGGCCCAACGTACACAAACCTGGCCCAGAGGGACTTGCATATCGGCTGAGAAATGAATGATAATCACGCACTCAAAGCTTAATTTTCGGCAAAAATATTCATCAAAGGTCGATCCGAATTCAATTCAGTAGTTGGATGTAAACAAAATTCTATCACGCCCAAAGTCACGTCTAGGACTTAGTAGAACTTTTCCGCTATCTTGTTTGTTTACACTGGGCCAAACTAGGAGCGGAGGGGCTGGGGTTTGTTTACCTTGGTCCAACATTGGGGCTCAATGATAGCCGACCTATCAGAGAGCGGCACACTTTTTCTGTGGTAAAAGGATTGAGATGGCAATACTCTCCCGTATACAGGTACTCTTAGGGGAACAGTTTCGTTGGTCGTGCCGCGATACTCTGAATGACGTCATTGATTCTACTAGGGGCATGCGGCATGACGAGCGTATCCCCCCCCCCCCCACGTTTTTGATCCCGAACACGGAGTATACACGCTAGACAGCAGTGTCGGGCGTGGATACCACATGAATGTGACTGGAGATTCCTTCACAGTTTTATCTCATTTGCCTTTACAGACCGTTCATCTCCTACGTAAGCCATTTTGGTCAGTGGCGGATCCGGAGGGGGGGGGGCACAGTCAAGCCCGCCACATCCCATCTCGGGCCTTGGTACTAGTTTTAAAGTCCTGGCCCCAAGCACGGAGGGGGCGGGGGTCCGAGGGGCATTCCCCGAAAAATTTTAGAATTTATACGACTAATCGGACGCATTTTGAAGCTTCCTTAAAGAATTTTTCCATGAATTTCTGCGGAATAATTATGTTTTTTTTTCCTACTTTCAGCACAAAATACTTGCGAATTATTGGATTCAAAACATCTGGAACATTTTTATTTTAATTTTTTTTTTTTTGGGGGGGGGGTGATACTATTTTCAGTTCTAAGAGGGCCAGGCCCCCCTGGCTTCCCCCTTCGTTTGTCTATGGCAAGGGAGTTGAGCCATGAGCCATTGAAGTCGAGGATGCCCTGACTGGAGACTCTTAGTATCTGACGACGGAAGCAAATGAAACGCAGTTACTAAAAATATCCCTCTGTACTGGAAATCTTGAAAATAGATGACAATTTTCCGGGAAGTATACTTCATTGAAAATTTAAGAAGAATTCTACAGTGCCCCAGCGAGTTTCTGAAAATCTATTCACCTTTTGCGAAATTTTTAGGGTAAATTTTTCACTTTTTCTTACGAAACAAGGGTTGCATGTGAATTCGTAGTGGTTTTTCACGGGTAACACGGGCCTGTACGGCCCTGGTACCGGGGCCCGGGCCCCGGTACCAGGGACCCATTATCCCACCCTTGTGGCGGGCCTACCTTCATGCACCCTGAGCTTGTCGATTTCCTTTGACATTTTTGCAGTGGTGAATGCATAGCTGAAGTGCGCTCCAGCTAGAATTGTATTTAGCAAAATGGTGGTTTTTCTACGAGGATTAAAAATAAACGAGCGGTACGGAATATAACAAAAGAATATGAACTACGCAAAACGATAATCCGGGTATCGGAACTTGGCTGATTTGAAAACGCCTTCAAATGCGGCGTGATACCTCACGCATTCCGGAGAGTTCAAATAGTTGTATCATTGCGTCGTAAGAATGTGACGGAAGATTTAAATGGAAAAAGCATCCATGCACGCTGGGCGTGTCGGTTTCCTCTGACATTTTTACAGTGGTGAATGCATAGCTGAAGTGCGCTCCAGCTAGAATTGTATTTAGCAAATGGGTGGTTTTTATAGGAGTACTATAATGAAACAATAGGTGAGAAATGGAAACAAAAGAATATGAAATATGCAAAACGATAATCCGGGTGTCGGAACTTGGCTGTTTTGAAAACGCCTTCAAATGCGGCGTGATACCTCCCGAATTCCGCAGAGTTCAAATAGTTGTATCATTGCGTCGTAAGAATGTGACGGAAGATTTAAATGGAAAAAGCATCCATGCACGCTGGGCGTGTCGATTTCCTCTGACATTTTTACAGATATTATAATGAAACAAGTTTTTAGAAATGGAAACAAAAGAATATGAAATATGCAAAACGATAATCCGGGTGTCGGAACTTGGCTGTTTTGAAAACGCCTTCAAATGCGGCGTGATACCTCCCGCATTCCGGAGAGTTAAAATAGTTGTATCATTGCGCCGTATGAATGTAACGGAAGATTTAAATGGAAATAGCCTTCATGCAGGCTCGCCACATCCCATCTCGACCCCGGGTACCAGTTTTAAGGTCCGGGTCCCAAGCACGGAGGGGGGGGGGTGTCCGAGGGTCATCCCCCGAGAAATTCTAGAATTTATACGACTAATCTGACGCATTTTTAAGCTTCCTTAAAGAATTTTTCCATCAATTTCTGCGGAATAATTATGTTTTTTTTCCCCTACTTTCAGCACAAAATACTTGCGAATTTTTGAATTCAAAACATCTGGAACATTTTTATTTTTTTTTGGGGGGGGGGGCATATGATACTATTTTCAGTTCTAAGAAGGCCAGGCCCTGCTGGACTCCCCCTTCGTATGTCAATGGCAAGGGAGTTGAGCCAAGAGACATGGAAGTCGATTATGCCCAGACTGGAGATGCTTAGCATCTGACGGCGGAAGAAAATGAAACGTAGTTACTAAAAATATCCCTCGGTACTGAAAATCTTGAAAATAGATAGAAATTTTCCAGGAAGTATACTTCATTGAAAATTTAAGAAGAATTCTACAGTGCCCCAGCGTGTTTCTGAAAATCTATTCACCTTTTGCGAAGTTTTTAGGGTGAATTTTTCACTTTTTCTCACGTAACAAGGGTTGCATGTGAATTCGTAGTGGTTTTTCACGGGTAACACGGGCCCCGGTACCAGGGACTCAGTACCCCCCCCCCCTTGTGGCGGGCCTGGGCACAGTGGCATGCCCTCCATGCTCCCCCTCGGATCAAAAAAAGGGGGAAAGGAGGATAAAAGGAGGAAAGAGGGAGAAAGAGGGAAAGAAAAAAAGTGCTCTTAAAAACTTATTGAAATGGTGTCAAGACAGAACTTCAGAACTATTTAACCAAGCTCACTAAACCAATGGTTACTTAATAATGTAGAAATAAATAGGCCATATACGAAAATAAAATTTCTCTAAAAGATGTATTGTTCGTCGTTTTTCAACTTTCAAATAATGCACAAATTGTATGCTAAAACTGCTTAAAATTCAATCTGAGAGGGCATCTTTTCGAAAATTTACGGGGGAGACCCCCGGAACACCGACTCAACATCAGAAAATTAATGCTCCTCCCCCCTCCCCTTCAAATCACTCTGGATTCGCCACTGATCGACTTTTTTACCCCTTTATTGCGTCCCCCTATAAGCCACCCAAAAGACAACCTGTCACCCCCCCTCCCATTTGTGTTTCGTACTAGCTTGCCCAACCCCCTTCCCTTTTGCGACCGCGTAAGCTTGAACCTCCTTTTCCCTATGTGGCTTACGTAATGCTTGAACGACCCTTCAAATAATATCCAAAAATTAAAAACGACTGAACTTTTAAATGTCCTTTTATTTATTTCATTAAACCGTAGTTGGACCGCAACTTTTACTTTCTCCCACGTGAAAACCAAAATGTAACATAACTGCACCTAATTAATTTATTAGAATTATAAAAAAAAGAAAAAAACTTTCTTTCTTTCCACTGTCAATCAGATCTTTGCGAAAGTTTTAAGGATGAATTCACCCGAGTGCTCACCGAAATTATATCCACGAAGTCCAAAATTGCGTGACCGTTTTGTTCTCCTGTTTCAGGTTGATGATATGATTTTGGTCGGTCCTTGATAGATTTCTTCGACTTGAAAAATGAGCCACTCTTACAAAGTCCAGAAAGATCGGAATAATTTCATGTTAACTTAATCTCACTCAGCCCAATTAGAATGTTAAGTCCGTTGAGCTTTTTCTAAGAGCTTTTTGTCGGTACCTAATCATATTTGTCTTACCTATTTTATAGCTCCTGCATTTTTATATTCGACATTATTTCTTATATTCCAAATTAATAATGAGCTAGATGCTTAGAAAATTAGGGTGAGCGAGATTCAGTCACTAATCAAGCTTATTCGATGAATAGACAGCATAGAGTGATTTGATAAGTAAGAGATAGATGCTTTATTTATTATGTCAGTCAGATAAAATGTGTAATTTTTACTTTATAAAAATAATAATAACTTACCTCTTGATTTGATTCCATCTTTAAGAGCGTTGACATTTTTTCAGTGCATGAGGAGAATCTAGCCGTTTTACTTCTTATTAGTTAATTTAGTAGTATTTCGTGACGTTGAATATATTTTCATAGTATTATCTGCATTGAAATCATTCATAGTTGATTTGAATTGTACCTCTTGCTGACGCAAAAAATGAATGTATTGCACTTACTTTCGATTCGTAAGAGGAGATATTTTGGATACGATAATATCGTAGAGAATTCGAACATGTCCGATTCGCACAAAGGATTAATTAAATTGAAAAATGATTTCGACGGAAATGACACACGTAAAAAAATTGACAAAAAAACCAGTGAAACAATGACGTTGACAGATTCTTTATTAAAATCATTAAAACTAGATTTAACAGTGATGAAATACACAACTTCAGAAATGGAAGAAGAACTTAGAGTCATTTTTGACACATTCTGTGAAGATTGGCCGATCGAAAAATGGCCCATAAAACATAAGCAGTTACGAATCGACTGGATTCCATTTGAGGATATATGCTGGGATGTTCGTGAGAGTTCTGGAAAAATAAAAACTGTAATGTCCTTTTACGATTTTATTTACGAATTTGACGATTGTTTTGGATACAACACTCCTACGATTTATATAGAAAAAAATGGGACTCTGACTGCCTTATGTTTTGACTATCTGGATTATTGGTACTTTGGTGGTTTTGCACACAGACCAGAAAATGATAATACAGATGATAGCGACGAAGATGATGATTTAGATAATACTGAAAATGCATCAAAACGCAGCAACTCTAATGACAAAGACAAAGAAATACTAAAAGCTCAGGTTGAAAATATAAATGACGAAACAAAGGGAAAACTACTGACACATTCTGACATTGTAGAGCAGGACGGAGGGGTACTTTCTGGGGAGCTCGTTCACAATTTGAAATCAGCAAACATTGAAAGAAATATACGTCCTGCTGCATACAGCACTCGTATGTTACATGTTGGGGAGAGAGTTTGTCGTAAAAGCAGCTCGAAGGAAAATATAATTGATGAAACGAAGGGAAGACTAGGGTCACTCTCTGACGTTATAGAGCAGAATGGAGGGGTACTTTCTTGGGAGCTCGTCCACAAGTTGAAATCAGCAAACATTGAGAGAAATATACGCCCTGCTGCAGACAGGATTCGGAGGTTACAAGATGGGGAGCGAGTTTATCATAAAAGTAGCTCAGAGGAAAATATGAATGAAGAAATTAAGAAAAAAATATTGAAAGTTTCTGATATAGTGGAGCAGAATGGAGGTGCACTTTCTTGGGGATTCGTCCACGAGATGAAATCGGCAGAAATTGAAATTCATATACGCCCCGCTGCAGCCGGCATTCGTATGTTACAACTTGGGGACAGAGTTCATTATATAAGTAGCTCAGAGGAGACGATACTCATTTTTAACGATACAGATCAATCGACCTACTATGTTTTTTTAAATAGCAAAATTGAGATCGACAAGAAATCAAAAGTTCTTATAAAAATAGTGTTTATGAATGATGACGGAAGTTTCAAAATTAACGAGAACAAGACAGTTACTTTTGAGACCCAACGAGATTCGTTCTTTAATTCTTAGATATAGTTATTTCTTCTGTTTGTCGTAATCTTGTGATACCTAAGAGTTACACATGCATTAGTCGAATTTCCGCGAGTGGATTTGGTTGAGCTTCTAACTTACTGCCAACCTCCGTCATAAGGATACGAATTGCGACGCACAGTGGATCGAGTCAATTGGTGAGGTCGGACAAGAAATTTTTGACTAAAACTGCAAATTTTTCTATTAATCAGGAATAAAAAGATAAAGTCTAGCAGACCCTAATCCCAAAAAATCTCTCTTATTCTCTGCTTTAATGCTTACCTTACTTCTCTGCTTGATAGGACTTAATGATTGTAAAGTAGTAGTAGTAGTGGTAGAATTAGTGGTAGTAATAGTAATTGTAGTAGATAGTAAGGGTACCTACTTTTTCTAAAGAAAACATTATTTCAAAAATTTGACTTTTGTAGAAAATGTCATTTACATTTTTATAGCCCATTGCAGTTCGCTATGTCCTCAAATCCATAAGAGTTAAGTGTTTTTTCCTTGATCTTGCATCTGTGTCAACTTTTGAAAATAGTCATTTTCATTAACAATAATTTTTGTGAATTTGTTGGTTAGGAATTTTTCCATAAATTCTTTTTGGATTCCTCACAATCTTCTCTCTTATGCATAATGAGTGTTGATCAGTCACCAAATATGTAAGAATACTATAGGTGCGTTTAGCGTTATATTATACCTTCGTTCCATTGATAATAAATTGATTGCATCTTTTTATAAGATTTGTATCAAATAAATTTGAATCGAATGTATTTGTGAAATTTTTTGTAAGATTATTTGAAGCACAATAACCACCCCTTTACATTCTTTTTCATCTTCAACCTCATTATCTTTATAATCATCGTCTAAAGAATGATCAACCACTGTCTTACTTTTCTAACTCAGCGTTAAAGTCTCCAAGGCACTGCGTCCAATTGATTAGGTACTGGGCATGTTGAGAATAAAATAACTTCACTGCCACATTTTTCCGGATGATAGTTTCACACGAAACATGTTGGCTATCTCGAAATTTTAAAAATAAACTAAAAGGCTAAGAACTAAAACTTCATAAGTTGAACCATATTCAATGGATTCAAACTTTTCTCTCGCGGAGTATGTAAATCGGTGGTATTGAGAATCAATTGACTTGGAGGAAAAAGATACCAGAGATGGATTTTACTTCTCTCGAGAATCTTGAGCAAGGAGCTTGAAAAGGATGAGCAAAATCAACTCAAAATTAGTGAAGAAATAGGGTTAGTTATATTCATTCAACTTATTAAAATAATACCTCTTGATTTATCGTTGTATTCATGTGGAGCAACCAATGAGTTGATTTTACAAAATGAAGTGTTACTTACTGAGATGGTGGAGAGATAGAAGAATATATTTTATGATATATAAGTGCTGTACTAATAAATAGCACTTAAATATATTTCAATAAATATATAAATATAAAACATATATTTCCCACACTGAAAAAAAACACATTGGATCCAGAGTCCAGACCCTTGAAAACATTGACAGGAAAAAATACTCTTGATTCAATCGGATTATTGCTTGCATCAAAACGAAATTCGCTTAAATTAAGAGGCTTGGTTCTTGATTTAAGCTAGATTCTGATTGAATCAAGAGTACTTTTTCTTGTCGATGTTTTTAAGAGTCTGGACTCTAGATTCAATGTGTTTTTTTTCCAGTGTATACTATTTTTCCTGTGTATTTTAATCTAGAAAAAGGTCGATCTCCTCCGATGTAGTGGTTGTAGCGCTGGCCCCATGATCAAGAGGTCCCAGGGTTTGTTTTTGGCCGGGCAACCCGAGTTTGATAGTCCATAGCAATGGACCACTAGACAAGGTATGAATTTCAGCATTCTGATACATTTTTCTTAACCAAAATTTACCGTAGAACACGATGCGCACAACGAAAATTACTGATATCAACTCCTTACGAAGATAATTAATCATTCTTGATGCGTAAATTCAAACCACCCGCTCATGAGAACTCAATGCTCTACGTGATTCACATCGCGCGCTAAACGTTATCAATTATCATGACAGTATCTGCGATTTAAAAATCTGGCAACCTCAATTTTGACGCTTTGGCTCAGCTGTAGAAAATTGCTTATAGTTTGAACAACACATGGTGGAAAATGAGCATTGCTCGATTGAGAAGCTTGCTGAAACCGTTGTAGTGCACGATTTGACTCACGTAGAGCTTAGAGTTTCTTGTGAGCGGGCAGTTCAAATTCCTCGTGACCAATGTGAAATAAAAACGTAAATATCTTCGTTAGGAAATAGTTTCAGTAATATTCGTTGCGCTAATCGTATTATACGTGAAACTCTGGTTAAGAAACATGTATCAGATCGCTGAGAAGGAGCGGTGATTGGAATTTGGGATGGGATCAAAGCGAAGGATTACACCAAAGTAGCTATATAAATGGACTACCAGACATGATACGAATTTAAACATACTGATATACGTTTCTTTTTGAAAATTTGACACATAGAAAACGATTCTTGGAACGAAAATCACTTAAAAAGGGTATTTTTCTTTTTCATGCTAGGCTACTGTTCGACAAGACAGTCGTAACTGACATCTCCTGCATACTTTCATGGTTGCATTTTGGGCACACATCAAGCACATTTTCAGGTTAGAAATCGGCAGAAAAGGGTGGCACTTTACTTGAAAGCACTGTTTTCATTGGCTCTATGGAGGAGTATTGTCTTGCCTAAAACTATGTTTTTTTTCTGCGCACTTACGGCTTGCTCATATGTCTCGTTTTCATATAGTAAATTGAATTTCGCCGTTTTAGCTATTTCAGTGATTTCATCTAAAAGAGATCAGACTAATTTCGGAGGGAACTCGATTTCAAAAGTTTGACACTTACTGCTCCCTTCGCTATCACAACATTATAGGTGCTCTGGTGAACACTGAACGAATGAATATTCGTTAAAATATGCGAGCGCTTATTCAGGTTAGGAATCGGCAGAAGAGGGCGGCACTTCACTCGAAAGCACTGTTTTCATTCGCTCTCCGGAGGAATGGACCACTAGACAAGGTACTAATTCAAGTATTCTGATACATGTTTCTTAACCAGAATTTAACGTAGAACACGATTCTTGCATTGAAAATTACTAAAATTAACTCCTAACTAAGATATCAACGTTTTTATTTAACATTGGTTACGAGGAATTTGAACTGCCCGCTCACAAGAAACTCAAAGCTCTACGTGAGTCAAATCGCACACCACAACGGTTTCAGCAAGCTTCTCAATCGAACAATGTTCATTTCCCACCATGCGGTGTTCAAACTATACGCAATTTGCTATAACTGAGCCAAAGCGTCAAGATTGAGGTTGCCAGATTTTTATATCGCAGAGACTGTTATGATAACGTTTAGCGCGCGATATGAATCGCGTAGAGCATTGAGTTTTCATGAGCGGGTGGTTTGAATTCACGCATCAAGAATCATTAAATATTTTTGTACGGAGTTGATTGCGGTAATTTTTGTTGTGCGCATCGTGTTTTACGTAAAATTTTGGTGAAGAAAAATGTATCAGAATGCTGAAATCGTACCTTGTCTAGTGGTCCATTATGTCTTTTACTGCTGTCTAACCTGAACCTACGTCATTTTTTGCACACTTACGGCTTTCTCATACGTCTCATTTTTAAACAATTAAATAAATTTTGCTGTTATAGCTATTTCAGTGATTTAATTCAAAAGAGATTAGACGAATTTTGAAGGACACTCGAATTCGAAAATTTGACCCTTACAGCTCTCTTCGCTATCGCGGCAGAATGTTTAAATTCGCGCCTCTGCTAGTGCTGCCGTGCTAAGGAAGAACGCCGTATGAGCATTTGAGAGTCGCCAAATCTCCCTTGATAAAACATGTATTTTTGACGACATTCACGCACATTTTTCTTCGGAATTTGCAGATATTTTAGATTAAATTGCGTACAAAATTGTCTGAAAATTTTGGGGAAAAATATTCACAATGCTCCTAGTAAATTCGGTTTTTATCGAAGGCAACTTGGCAACGTCTGGAGGCTCATACGGCGTTTTTCTTTAGCACGGCAGATTGGTCCATATGTGCGTTGTGTCAAAATCATACGGCTTTTGCGTCGGAAATACAGGACCACACCACGTGGAGCGGCAGCGCGCGAATGAAAAAGGAAAGTGGATGACGGTGATGTAATTCGTGAGCGGTTACTACTTTTCCTTCGGGCGTTTCCGCTCACCGCGTGCATTCGGAGGGTGATGACATATTTGGCGGCGCGGTGTCTTCCCATCAAGGTGAAGGCCCTCGCCCGTACCGGTCTACTGAACCGCTATGCTGCCGCGATAAGGAAAAACGCCTTATGAGCCTTCAGACGTTGCCAAAATGTCTCAGACAAATCTCGAATCTACATTCAATCTAAATCCTCTCTACACTGAAAAAAAATCTCGGTGTATTTACTAAGAAAAGGGTAAAATTACCAAGAATTCGGGGTTCTATTTGATCCCAGTTTTTTCTTGGTAAAATTACCATTTATGGAATTGGTAATTTTACCGAGAAATCTTGATAAAATTGTTGAACTTTCTTGGTGATTTTACTGGACCTTGGTAAAAATGCCAATATATTTATTATCGACTGTGGTAAAATTACCGGGATAAAATGGCAAAGTTACCGGGAATTGATTACCAAAAAAAGTGGTATTCTTACCTGTAAAAACACCAAAAATACCGGTTTTTAGGTAAGCTTACCAGTCTGTCTTGGTAAAATTACCAATAATTGGTAAAAAAAGTGAGATGGTAAAGATACCAACGGACCTTGGTAAAAACGCCGAGAATTTTTTTTCAGTGCGATAAGGAGAAACGCCGTATGAGCCTTCAGACGTTGCCAAAATTTCTCAGACAAATCTCGAATCTAAATCTTCTCTATTCTAATAAAAGCATGTTTAACCCTTTATGGCATAGCTTTACGAATTCGTAACGGCGTATTTTCAGGGTTTTTAAAAATTGAATTTTTCCTCTATGCCGTGATTTTGCAGAACTTCATTGGTTATTTCTTTTTTTGAAACTTTGATTGTCTTAACTTTAAAATTTTGAAAACAAATTTGGTACTCTACTTCTTTATGCAAGATACAAAGTAGATTAAAATCCCCGAGAATCTGAGATCCAAAATTGATTCATGCCATAGAGGGTTAAGACGCTCGATGGACGGGGTGAGGTAGGAAGAGTAAGACGGTCCAAAGGTCGAATCAAAATTCAGGGTAAGGAAAAAGTCGTTAGAGAATATTGTTTGGCGGGAAATTCTTGTTTGAAACTTCGTTTTGTTATTCTATTAAAATTATTTGCTCACTAACCGCCAACGGGCGATTTCGACGATTTCGCTGCCCGCGAAGCGGCTTTTGGGGCCGCGCAGCGCCTCGGGGGTTAAACTGCGTAGCGGTCAGGGGGGCGGAGCCTCCTAGTTCGTGAATATTTTCACATCGATTTTTCAGGGAGTTTAGTTCATAATTTGATCGGAAGTGTCTGAAAATTTCAAGAGAAAACACTCATGACTTTCTTCAAAATTAACAATTTTCTGAGAGGAAATTTGGCAACATTCGAATGCTCATGCTCATTGAATTGATCAACAAATCCGTGAATCTATCGACAAAGCCGCGATCGATCGACAAACCCGTGCATCTACTGGGCGTATTTCTGCCAAACGGAACTCTGTGCATTATGACGTGAGCCCTGTTATGCATATCTATTCTTATGGGTCCCAGGGCTCATGTCTTTATGCACATAGTTCCGTTCG